CTCGGCTCCGGCCCGCGCTCCGCTCGCAGGCGCCTGCCTCTCCCGCCGGCTCACAGCTCAAGTGAACTCCATCGGCGGCCGCCGCCGGCGCTGCGGGCTCCCTGGCTGGAAGGGTGGCAGGAGGGGGCGGCGGCGGCACAGGGGCCCCTCGCTCCGGACTTCGCTCCCAGACTGCGCCGAGCGCGCCTCCTCCAGACGCTCGAAGCTCTGGGAGCGGGACTTCCTCGGCGCGCCAAGCGCGAGCCGCGGGTGCCACCGCCCCTCCCCCGCCCCGCCCCGCGCGCCCCGCCCCTCGCCGCCCCTCCTCTCGGCCCCGGCGCCGGGTCGGCCCCGCGGGGGCGCAGTCCCGGGCGCGACATCGACAGCTGTCGCTCCCCCCGCGGCTCGGGCCCTAGGTCCCCAAGGCTGCCTTCCCGGCGGGAGGGCGCGGCGGGAACTGCAACGCTCCGCGGCCTCCTCGCAGTTGCCGCTTCCAATATTGTGCCGCGGCAGGGAAAGGCTACTAGGCCCGCAGCCTGGGGTTGAAATGAGACTAGGCCTGTCACATCAGCAAAGAGCTGGCTCTCTGGGCGGCTGTGCGGGCTCAATGAGAAAGTGATGTATTGAAAACGCCTGGCACACAGTAGGTGTTCAATACAAAATATGCTGTTGAAAACGGAAGGGGGGGTGTTAGAGTCTAGTTTTAGAACAAAAAGGTCTTACTCTAACCTCATCCCCACTATGATCAAAGCCTGAATGTAGTGTGTTAGGTCTTAAGGATAACTGAGTACATGAACTGGCCATTGACAAATCCCTCCTCCGCTAATTCTTTAAATCCCCCGACATTTGTATACTTCACACCAAAGTGGAGCCGGTTGGTTCCCTGGCATCCACCAGATGTAGGGAAAGGATTAAAGCAATGCCACAGCCTCACTAAATGGACAGCAATTCCTATCACAGTAATATTTATCATCACTGTGTTCTCTAGTGCCCAGTGTCTGACATGGAAGGAGGGAGAGGGCTGAATGACCACAAACTTGGCCCTTGGTGGATTCCCTTGAGCAACCCACTCTTGCCAGAGCATACTCAACTCCTTTCTGTCCAGCCTGGTGGGCCCCCTCTGCAGAATTCTGCCCTCCTTACTCACTGTTCCAACCACAGAGGCCCTGAAAAGATACTAGGCCACACATGGGGGTGAGAAGACCCTCTGCATCTGGAGTTTTAATTCCACACCTGCAGCTTGGCGGGGTCCTTCCTTGGTACACAAGAAAAGTTGCCTCGATTTCTCTGGCACAAGGGAAAGAGGGCAAGCGAGGCCTAGATTGCAACTGGGAGGGTTCTAGGGTAGAGCAGGCACACTAGGGTGGAGTGAGAGCGAAGCCCACACTGACTTCCCTTCCAGTGCTGCTGTTAGGTGGAGGGCAGCTGGCAAGAGAGGAAAGGAGTAGGGCTTGGGAGAGATGTACACCCCATACAAATGACATGGAAACTGGTTTAAAGCAGTAATGTCCATTCCTCACCTCTTTGAAGTTGAACATCCATCACGGTTTGATTTCACGGCACTCTTGTAAAACCTCTCAAGGGAAAAAAAGGGGGTACTTGCTGTACGGCATAATTTTTTTCTTTAACCTCCAAATACAATTAATTTTGGAAATAAGAGGCTCTCTCTCTAGCCTCATA